TGCAGAAGGGCATGATGGACAATTTGGGGGTAATAGAAATGTTCTATGACATAGTGATGATTATAAAATGTACATATTTATCAAAAACTTGTAAAATTATACAGTTAACATTTGTCAATCCATTATTTGTAAGTTTAGCCTCGGTAAAACTCATTAAAATAAAACAAAGCCTAGAAAATTTTGAACTATTTGAATTTTTAAAAACAAAAAAAAATTGAGGTTAATTTTTATGTATGTATACACCTATGTTACCACCACTCAGATCACTCTATAGAGTTTGTCTAGCCTCTCAGAAGTCTCTATCATGTATTTTCCTTCATCCAACCTCTATTCTGATCTTTCTGGATGGAGATTAATTTTTCCTTTTTGCACTTAATATTAGTGGAATTATACAGTATGAATTTTTAGTCTGTCTTCTTTGTTAAATATTGTTTGCATGTTCTTGGTGGTGTTTGTTATTTACTCATTATGTTGTAAATATTTTTTCATATGACAACATAACAATGTATTTATTCTGTTTTTGAATTTTTCATTATATTAAGCCTCTATGGACATTCTTATTTAAAAAAAGATAAAATCATAGTATGTAAATCCCATAAAATACTCAGGCATAATCTTGGAGAATTGTATGTAACTTAAATGGGGAAACCTATAATGTGTATCATTTAATTTAAATATGTAAAAAGGGACATATAACTAAGCATCGCTCTTAGATGTGAAAACTAATATTTTAAAATGTTATTTATTTTTCGGTGTATAGATTGATTACAAAAACAAAAACTCCCAATGGTATTTTACTTTGAATATTAAAATTTTATTTGGATTTCTAAATTTCATTTGGAAGAATAAACATTCCCAAAAAAGGGTCTAATATAGTGGCAATAATTATAATAGGACAGTAGTGATAGAATGCAAATCAGAATTGAATCAATAGAATAAGCAATCAATAGTAAGCAGTCTCAATCAATTATAAAAGACCACAATACATAATAAAATAGAAGGAAAATAAGTGCTTAGTAAATTAGAAAAAGTTAATCTTTCACTTTTGAATCATGTCAAAATAAATTTCAGATGGATTCAAGAGTTAATATATTTTTTAATTGTAGAAGAATATGGAATTGAGTATTCACCAGACCTCAAGAAAAAGACTGATTTTGTTCTTACTTTCTTTGTCTTTTGAAAGAATAACTAGGGGCTGGGATTGTGGCTCAGCGGTAGAGCACTCGCCTAGCACGGCCGGGACCTGGGTTTGATCCTTAGCACTACATAAAAATAAAAAAAAAAGGCATCTACACCTAAAAAATAAATATAAAAAAAGAATAACTAGCTAAATTTTAAAAGATGAGAAAAAGTCTCAACATATGTGACTGCCCAAAAATAAAAGATAATGTGATAAAAGGTAATATTATCTTAGGGGTTGGGGTGTAGCTTAGTGGTAGAGTCTTTGCCTAGCATGTTCGAGGGCCTGGGTTGGATCTCCAGTACTGCAAAAAAGTTTAAAAATTATAAAACAATCTTTGTGCTGGGGGTGTAGCTTAGTAATAGAATGCTTGCAAGTATGCATGAGGTCCTAGGTTCAATCCCTAGGACCAAAAAGAAAAAAAAGTTAAAAAGCAAACATCAGCTTTTTTGCAGTGTTATAACTAGTGAGATTTCCTCCAAGGTACTATGATTAATAAGGATCTTCCCAACACCCTTCAAAAATGTCTACCATATTCCACTCAGAATTTTGGTGAGATAAGACAAATGTACAAAGATGAATTGGGCAAGCTTGTTCACTAAATAATTGATTATAATGAAAAACTGGAAACAACCTAAACTTCTATACTTAGGGTGTTATTTAAATAAATTTTGATAAAGTTATCTTAAATACCAAGAAATGATAGTGTAATAGAAATCATAGCGTAATTGATTTTTTTTTTGAGAATGAAGAATGCTCACAACTTATTTTTGAATGAAAGATTAGAGATCAACATTAAGAGTGGTTAGTTGGGCATGGAAGAGGTTTAAAGATTTTTGCTTAATCTAAATTCTCTCACATTCTTTTTCTCCCCCTGCAGTAATCATCTATGATTTTGATGATCAGAAAGGAAATGAAACTGTTTTCGTTTTAGAAAAACAAATGCAAACAACTGACATTGGAAATTGTTTGCAGTAATTTTTACCTCATGCATGCTAGCAAGCATTCTATTACTGAGCTACACCCCCAGCATGAAGATTGTTTTATAATTTTTAAACTTTTTTGTAGTACTAGGGATCCAAACAGGCCCTCAAACATGCTAGGCAAAGACTACCACTAAGCCATACTCTAACCCCTAAAATCATATTTAAGGTACATTATCTTTTTGGGGGGGCAGTCAACAAATGTTGAGACTTTTTCTCATCCTTTAAAATTTATCTAGTTATTTTTTCAAAGATGATGAGGGAGAGAACAGAATCAGCCTTTTTCTTGAGGTTTGGTGAATACTCAATTTCTTTACTTTTCTAAGAGCTCAAATTGTTAAGAAATAATTGAAGATACCAGTAGGGTTGAGCAGAGAACATGAGCAGACACATAACAGAGAAAATAGAGGTGGTAAACAAACAACATGGATCATTATTCAGACTTGTTTATTATCAAAGAAGTGTAAATTTAAAGTTTGAGGTAACATTTACTTTAAGTTTTTTAAATTAGCAAGTTTTCCACCATTAGGTTATTCATAATAAAGACATATTAATTATATCAAATTGTGGTACAGTCTTAAAAAATATTGCAACCTGAAAAAATACAGCATTTGAATGAAGTAATGAGGGTAACAGTTTTTGTACTATGAATATTAACAGTCTCATAGGTGTTGGAGTGGGGTTGGGGGAAGAGCAGGGTTATTCAAGTGAGAAAGATTGGGGTTCATTTTAGCTCTGGCACTTAATAACAGTATAATCTTGGGTAAGTTGCTTAACCTTTCTGAGCTTTAGTTTCTTTTCTTCCCTAAGAATGGTATACTTACTTCTCTGGTTGTAAATATATGTAAACCGGATGATACAGACCATGGTATATAGTGCTTATTAATACTTGTTAATACTTGTTGAATGAATAAATGGTAGTTATTAAGTGCTGTATATAAAAGTATGTTTATGAAAAAAGATTGGAGGAGAATACAGCAAAATGATTAGTGGTTATGTTAGAATGAAGAGAATGGAGTGATTTAAAAAAAATTGTCCATTTTTTAAAATCTTTTTAAAAAAATATTTATTCTTAAGTTTTAGGTGGTCACAATATCTTTATTTTACATTTATGTGGTGCTGTGGATCGAACCCAGTGCCTCGTGCATGCTAGGCGAGCACTCTACCACTGAGCCACAATCCCAGCCCCTTTTTTTAAATCTTAAATGATTATTTTGTCCTGTTGAAATGTCCATCTGAAATGGGAGGCAGGGATGACTGATTTTCTGTTTGGTGGTATTATGTTTACAATTAAAATAATTATCTAAACTCATCTTTAATCTCTCTCTCCTTTCCTGGGCGTTCTGTTGTACTTATTGTTTAATAAATTTTGAGGTTTGATTGCAAGTTTTTCGTTATTGGTTCACTTAGCTGAACACTTTGGAGTTCAGCCATCACCTCTTTTTTTCTTTGTATACTGAATTTCAAATCTATCAGCAAATGCTACTGACTTTCTTCTTTAGAATATATCCAGAATCCTTACCGTCTCCACTGCTACCACACTGGTCCAAACCACCATTAGTATCTTACCTAGAATACTGGAATAGCTTCCTAACAGTTCTGCTTCCATCTTTGTTCAATGTCTTCTCAACTTATGACTAAAGTGAATATAAGCCTATGAAGTCATTTTGCTGCTTCAGTAGTTTCTCACTGCATTCAGAGCAAAAGCCAAAATCCTTAAAGTATCTACAGAATTCTTAGAGAATTCATTCCCCACCCTCAAACCCATGCTTTCTGATTTTATTTTCTACTATTGTGCACTTTCTTTCTCTCTTCCCAAAAATCTCTTCCTAGAGATATTCACAAGACTGGCTCTCTTCCCTCCGTCAGTGTCTGCCCAAATATCACCTTATCACGGAGACAGGCCTTTCCAAATCACTAGATCACCCCAGTCTCACCCCCCATTCCTCCTCTGGTTATTTTTGCTCTATTTTAAAAAATATTTATTTTTTAGTTGTAGTTGGACACAATGCCTTTATTTTTACTTATTTGTTTTTGTGTGGTGCTGAGGATTGAACCCAGGCCCTCACATGTGCGAGGTGAGTGCTCTACTACTGAGCCACAACCCCAGCCCCAATTTTTGCCCTATTTTTAAGCCCATTTGACTTACTATATATTTTACTAAGTATGTGCAAGGTTATATATCTTTCCCAATAAAAATATCTTTCTATACAGGAAAGTTTGTTTGTTTGTTTGGCCTATTTTGTTCCTGGCTGTAACTCTCTATCAACTAGAGTAGTGTCTAGGACATAGTAGGTACATCACTATTTCATATAAGTTAACCTTAGTCCCAAACTTGTTCGAAAACTGTATGATGAGGCAGTATCATATGTTGGTTTTTAATGCCTTATATCCCACAACTTCAGCCCTCCTCAAGTGTAGAATAAAGCAGGGTGGGCAAGACACACTATTGATAAGACAGTGGTATTTGTTGCATTGGATTTACTCAGCCTATCAGGCTGAATAAACTACTTGGGATGGAAGATATCTAAATACAGTCTACTAATTTCATATGGGTGCTAGTCCCATGAGTATATGCATATGTGAAAACTCATTGACTGTGCATTTAACATTGAGATTAAAAAGCCTTTATATCTCTCTTCAGAATTTTGAAAAAATAATCTATTCTATTCTTTGACAACTCCAGAGGAAGTTAAACATGCTAAATGATATATAAAGAAGATCAAGAAAGAATCTTTCATGTTCTTCCTTATTAAGATTTCTAGTCTGGTTATTGAGATTTTTGTTTTGAATTCAAAACTAAAGTAAAATAATTTTATTTACTTATTCTTTTGCAGAGTTAGCACTAGCAGAATTTCACAAAAAAATCAAAGAAGCATTTGAAGTGTTTGACCATGAGTCGAATAATACAGTGGATGTGAGGTTTGGAAAAATTTATTGTTGTTCCAATTATAATTTACTGATATAATTCATAAAACAGAAGAGGAATCTTTTCTTTTTATACTGTACCTTGGATTTATTATGCTGTTTAAAGTATTTATTTTCCTGTGCGCCATAAAATGTTTTTGCTAGCTATTGTTTCAGGTAAATTCTGTTTCTTATTCTTTAGTCTAGTGGATAGAATATATTTCTAATTGTCTATTCTAACCTATAGATTATATAAACTCTGAGATGAATGCTGTAGCTTTAATACTTGGCACATAGTTGGTATTCAATAAGTAGTTGTTAAGTAATTGAATATAATTTGCTTTAAAAAAATAGATATGTATTATCAATCCATGAAAGGGATTATCACAAAGAATGAATAATAATGCTTAAACCTAATCCTCAGTACCACAAAGAAATATATATATATATATATGTACACACACACACACACACACAAAAGAATACCTAAACAATGGTACACTTCAAAGTAAAACTGCCAAAAGAACCAAAACAGAACATATATACACACACAAAATGAAAGACATGAATAATGGTAGACCTGGAGTAGAGTACAGGAGACAAAGAAAGGCAAAAGGTAAAGGACACTATACATAAGTCTTAATAGACACTGTAGAATTTGTGCCACATATAGCAAAGAAAGGTAATGAAACCATTGTTCTAGGAAGCCAGGCAAAATGGGGATTGTTTAGTGGGAATCACAACCTCAAGACTTTGTACCTGGTATAGAAGTCAGCAAAGCAGTCAGCCCTATAGTAACACTTTATAAAGTATTGTTTTATGCCACAGCTCTGTTTATGGATAGAGTGGAGAATGGGGTTCAATTTGTCTTGTCTACACCTTAACTATATTAGGCCTTGCGCAAGCTTTGGCTTAGTCATTGCCATGGAAATGTGGTAAATGGACTGCAGCGTAGCTCCAAGTGGCTCTGGTCACATTGCATTCTATGGGAATGACACTCTATGAATGTTTTAGCAGGAAAATGAGTGGGTGAGGGGATAGTGATGGTGGTAAAGTTTTGGATGGGGTACAGAGCTTGTTAATCCTGCCAGCAATTCACACCACTAAATTATATGAATGGAAAGTGCCTTGACTGCAGACCTCTGGTTGAAGCCAAAGGGCTCTCCTGAGGGGACACAGGTATTGTTAGAGAAGTCCGGGAGAATATAGCTTTATGAGCAAGGGGAAAGAGAGAAGAAAAGCATTAACTAAATGGCTTGCTAGTTGGGAGGATGGGGCTTCATGTACATTTCTTCATTTTAATGTTATTTGTGTGGTAAATATTGTCATCTCCAGTCTTTGGAGACAGAGAGAAAGTACATAGTTTCCTTGGTGTCAATCAGAGCTTTCTTCCTTCCAAGTCTTTTGCTGTGCTTATTATGCCCACTGTCCCAACCCTCTCCTTCAAGTACTTTGTGGGCCTACCCTTGGGCTTTCTGAAGAAGCAAGACAACCTTCCTTACATCAGTGATGCCAGCCAGGCCTTTTTTGGCAAAAGGGCCAGTTCAGGAAAAATAAACATGTTTATAGGCTACATCTTTTTCCCATTCCAAATTAAAATAACTTTACTGAGGCCCTGAGGGAAAGTGTATGTTCAGACAACTTAAGTGGTCCACTTTATTAAAGATGGTTAGGAAAAAAATTGGCATTGTTTTTAGCATTAAAGTATCAATGCTAAGAACATTTGAGGAGTAGCAACATGAATGAATGCAGCTCTCTAATCTTCTTTCCTTATGATAATCTGTAAGGCACTTCAAAGTTTATAACAAATGTTCTTATGCTGCTGGTATCATTATCATCCTCTCTTTCAAAATTGAAAATTAAGGACAGAAACAAAATGACTTGCCCAAGATCTCACAATAGGTTAGCAGCAAGGCTGGAAGTCAAATTAATTTCTTTTGTTCAGGGTAGCATTTTCCAAGCTGACTGTACACCAGCCCCAGGGGAGGCTCTGGAAATTCGATTATGAGCTGGGTTGGCTCCTGCCTTTCCCAGACTCAATTGAGACTGCATTTGTAAAAGCAGTTAATCTGTCTGGAATTTATTTTAGCATATGATTAAAAGTGAAGGTCTAAGTCGACTTCTTTTTTTCACTTACTAAACAGTTTATTTCCTTTTTGGATTGTTAGACCTACTTTACAACATGTTACATTTTGTGTAATTGAATTGAATTAGATCTGTATTTTGATATATTGCTTTACTTTCAATCTTAATACTAGTTTAGTACTATATTAACTGCTGTCAATTTATAAAATGTTTTAATAGCTTATAAAACTAGACTCTTATTCTTTTTAAACCTTTTAGTTAAGGATTGAAGGCAATTTCTGTGTAAAGATCGGGTTGTATAAAGAAGTATCTTTGGAATGGAGTGAGAGTGTTGGGAAGATACAAATGGCTTGGATTGGTTAGGAAAAGAGAGATGATTTTTGAGAGTTGTTCAGAGGTGTCCAGCTGTCCCTCCCTTGTGCTTTATTCCTCAGGAGAAGCTATAGTACTATTTTTCCTACAGGGCAGCTTCTCTCCTTTCTCCTTATCTCTGCTGTGCAAAAATTGAAAGATTTAATTTGAAATTTTATCACATTAAATAGAACAAAGTAGGTTGTTCACCACTATCTAAAAGCCATACAGATTGGTCTGTGTGCTTTCCTCAGACCTGGGAAAGGTGGCCCTGAGGTCTGGAATCAGACTCCCAGGGTTCCAGGCAGAGCTCTGTGACTAGTAGTAATTTATTTATTTTCTTTATGCCTCTGCTTTTACATTTGCCTCATAAGATTGGCAGTGTAAGTGGTTCTCAAAGTGTGATTTGGAGACCCTCATATGTCCTTAAGGCCCTTTTAGGAAACTGTGAAGTCAAAACTATTTTCATAATAAAGCTTGAGCAGTCTAAGCTATTTTCATTCTTGGTTTTTTTTCACAAGTGTATATTGGAGTTTTTCAAAGTCTACTTGAGGTGTGATACTATAATAGATTGAACAGAACTAGATATGAGTCTCCAACTGTCTTCTTTTATGATAAGCATTAATAGATTTGCAAACATATAAAATAATACCAGTCTTCTAATTAAAATTTTTTCCTATGGACAGTAATTTCTTTTCATAGAAATTATGTACTTACATAAGCATATGATGGGCTTATTTATTATTTCTAAACAATTAAGAAAAACATATTTTTTAAATTTAAGGTTTAATTTCTAGCATAGTAAAGAGAGATCCATAAAACTCCCATAAATCAAAGCTCTTTGAAAACCTTAGTAGTTTTTAAAGGTATAAAAGAAGTTCTGAGATCAAATAGACCAAATAGTGTGTGAGGACCGCAATTGTCAGTGGACATTTTTTAAAGCTCTTAGAACAATGTTAGCTTGAAACAAATTTGCATGGGATTTAAAGCTTAGAACAATATTAGCTATTACAAGCTATTATAATAATAATTCCACATTATATTCTCTCTCTCTCTCTCTCTCTCTTTCTCTCTCTCTCTCTTTTCAGTACTGGCGACTGGGTCCAGGGCAGTCTGCCACTGAGCTTCATCCCTAGACCTTTTTATCTTTTATTTTAGAGACAGGGTGTTGCTAAGTTGCCTTGAATTTGATCCTCTTGCCTTAGCCTCTTTGGTTGCTGGAATTACAGGCCTGTGCCACTATGCCTCCTGCACTCTTTTAATCTTTAAGTAAATAATTAAAAAGTTTTTTCCCCCTATTTAATCTTGGTGAGCAGTGTCTTTTGTACTTCATAAAACCCTCATAAGAAATTTTTACTTATTTTTATGTATTTTGTGCTGATCTGTTAAGTTTTAAAGCATTTCATTTTCCTTTCCATTTTCTTCATTAAAGAATTTTTTAAACCTAGCTGCTTGAAAAACATTGGTAGATTTTTACTATCACTAATAAGTGTTGTTTTGATTTTGCCTTATACAAAATATAGACCACAATACACTTTTACTTATGTGTATTTTCCTTCTCTGTATTTAGAAATCAATTGGTAAAAATAATGGAAAATTGAAGTTTTCATAGATGATAGGTGGTACATGAAAGAAAATTCTAAAGGTACAAAGAATCTATCGTGACAAGTGAATTTCTTCACCTCTAATTCCTGACTATCCAGTTCTCCTTTCTAATGGCAAACTTTGTTATAAGTTACTCTAATTCTTCTAGAGATAGTTCGTGTGTGTGTGTGTGTGTGTGTGTGTTATTGTGATAAAATATTTATAACATAAAATTACTATTTTAGCCATTTTTAAGTATACAGGTCAGTGGCATTAATATTACATTATTTGTACGACTATCACTGCTGTCCATCTCTAGTACTTTCACATCTTCCCAAACTGAAACTCTGTTACTCATTTAATAACTGCTCATCTCCCCTCTCCTACTCCTAGCAACCATCATTCTTTTTTGCCTCCATGAGTTTGACTACTCTAGGTGCCTAGTATAAGTGAAATAGCAGTCTTTTGTCTTTCTGTGTGTGTCTCTTTTCACTTACCCTTGCCACATTTTGCTTATCTGTCCATCTGTTGACTGGCATTTGTGTAAATTTTACTTTTTGACTATTGTGAATGAATAATGCTGCTACAAATATTGGTGTACAAATATCTGTTTGGGCCCCTGCTTTTAGTTCTTTTGAAAGTATACACAGAAGTAAAACTGTGGGGTTATGTGATAGTTCTGTTTGATTTTTTGGAGTAATTCCACACAGTTTTCCATAGTGGCTGCACTATTTTACATCCCTCAGCAATGCACAAAGATTCTAATTTCTCTACATCCTTGCCAATATTTGTTTTGTGGTTTTATTTATTTATTTATTTTTTGTGTGTGGTGGTCTTATTTGGGGTGCAAAGCAATATCTCAGTGGGGCTTTGATCTGCATTTCCCTAATTATTAGTGATGTAGAACATCCTTTCATGCTCATTTGTATATTCTTTGGAGGAATGTCAATTCCAGTCCTTTTTTTTTTTTTTCCATTTTTTAATCAGGCTGATTG